CTCTTCCAAGATAAGATCAGTGATTTGCAGTGCTCCCACGTCGCCACGAGATGGAGCGAGAGCCCCGTCAGGGTGACCCATTCCCCACGTGGGGTCCCCTCCGCATCCCACCGGGTGATGGAGGTGTCGGGGCCAATGTCCCTCCCGTCCGTGTCCCGTGTCGCCAGGCCTGCTGCGGCAGCTGCGTCCCAGCGACGTGGAAGTGGAGCTGCTGGCGCACACGCGGGATGTGGTCAGCCGGGATCTGCCGGCGGAGACGGGGCTGCACACGGGCTGGGTGCAGAACGGGGGGCTCTTCATCGCCTCCAACAAGCAGCGCCTCGACGAGTACAAGAGGCTCATGTCGGTAGGGAGAAGCCCCTCGGTGTGTCCCCTGGCCAGGTGGGCTTCCAGGCCGGCCTCCTGGCTCGGTGAGGCTGCTGGAAACAGGCAAAATGATGGCAAATAGGCAAACTTAAGCCCAGCCGTGGCTTTTTTCCCTTCAGATAGTAGTAGCATCATTTCTCCAAGTGCACAGGCAGCTTACACGTGAATATGGGACCATATTCCTTGAAATCTGTGCAGACCATCCCACACTGGATTTAGGGCTTGCCCTGGGCAGCAGCTGTCTCTTCTGGGAGATAAACACATCCTGGGGAGTCTCATCCTCCAGCAATAAGGGATGAGCAAAGGTTGTGTCTTTGTGTGGCTGCCTGCTTGAGCTCCTGGTTTTCTGTTGGCAGCTGGGGAAGGTGTATGGAGTGGAGTCCTACGTCCTGACCCCATCGCAGACCAAGGACCTGTACCCGCTGATGAACATCAAGGACCTGTATGGAACGCTGTATGTCCCCAAGGACGGCACCATGGATCCGGCCGGTACCTGCTCGACTCTCGCCAGAGCAGCAGCTGCCAGAGGCGCAACGGTAGTTCCTTATTAGCATTTAATACCTGTTGACCCTGGAAGGAGATGTCATCCTCTGCCTTCCCCATCCTCCCCCTTTCCCACTGGAGCAGAGCTGCTCCTGCAGCACCAGGTCTTTGCCCAAGAAGGGTGTTGTCCTGTGTGGCTTTGGTGGCTGTTTGGGTCACAGTGACAAAGCTGGCAGGAACCATGAGATCCAGGGGAAATACAGGATGAAAAGAACCTGTAGGAGCAAGATGAGGCAGTGCCCAAGGCAGGTTCCTTTAGAGAGCAGAGGTTTTAGGGTCACGTAACACAATCTATTCCTTAAGGCAGGGACTACCAGCCTGTCCTTGGCGTGTTGCTTTGCTCATGTGCAGGTAAACAAATAACACCCTCTGCAACTGCTGGGGCACAGAGCAGCGGTTTAAGTCTGCAGCTGGGGAGGGGTATGTTGGTATCAGCACTCACAATAGCTGTTGGAAAGTGCCATTGCCAGACCACTGCTCGGGTTCACCTTTCTGAGACTTGGGGGCTGGATGTCAGGTGAGCCGATGTTCCGCTGCCCCTGCAATGCTGCCACGACTCTGCTGCCCTTCCTCTGCCACCAGATCATCGAGAACTGCCCGGTCACCGGCATCCAGGTCAGAGCTGACGATTTTGGGGTGAAGAGGGTGTACGCGGTGGAGACGGCCCATGGCACCATCCAGACTCCCTGCGTGGTGAACTGCGCGGGTACGGGGCACAACGCAGGCGCGGACAGG